AACCAAAAAAAAAAAAAAAAAAAAAAAAAAGGAGAGAGAGAGAGAGAGAGAGAGAGATGGTTTCTCTGTGTAACAAACAGCTCTGGCTGTCCAGGAACTCACTTTGTCAGGCTGGCCACAAACTCAGAGATCCGCCTGCCTCCTCCTCCCAAGTGTTGGGATTAAAGGTGTGTGCCACCACCGCCCGGCTTGGATAATATTTGTTTGTTTGTTAAGTTTTTAAAGACAGGGTCTGGGGCTGGGCGGAGAAGGCGCACACCTTTAGTCCCAGTGCACGCCAGGAAGAGGCAGGTAGGTATCTGTGTTCGACCCCAACCTGGTCTACAAAGAAAATTTCAGTACAGCCGGGGCTACACAGATAAGGCCAGTCTCAAAAAAAAAAAAAAAAAAAATCAAAGTTACAAAGAACAGTAAACGGAAGCATAGCATCTAAGACTTTCAAGTGGCAGCTGGAAGGTCCAGTCCTTGCTCTAATCACTACCTTAGCTTGTCTCGGTGACTCTGCACAAGTCATGTACCTGCATATCCCTCAGTTTGTTCACCTGGAAAACAATGCAAAAAAGCCTCAAGTCTCTTTAACATCTGCCTGGAAGGTAGCCAGGGTAACCAACCTCATTGTCTCTTCTGGGCTTCAACAAGTCAGCGTCACTGCTTCTTTTAACTGGAGTCTACTGAGAAAGTACGTACTAGGAGCTTGACACAGGTCCCCCAGTCAAGTACACTACTCTCCTGCTGCGGTCCTTGGGAGCTGAAAGGTCGGTCTTTCCCTGAGATTTGCTGGGGTACTCGCCTCTCCGGCCTTTGGGGTAACCTCAGGTCCGGCCCGCAGGTCCACTCACCCTTCAGGTGCTCTCCGCTGCCTGGCGTGGCGGAACAGCGCGTCCCCGTTGCCCGGTCCCCCACTGGGGTCGAGTGCCGCGCCCCCGTCTGCGTCCTCTCGGCGACACGGCCTTTCGCCATGGCTGTAGCAGGGGGCTGAGAAGAACACCCAAAGCTGCCGCACCCCCTTGAATGACTAAACTCCTCCCGCAGCTTCCTACCAACACCGAGGCGCGCCGCACAGCCACTTCCGGCGCGACCCCCTCACCCGAGACGACCTCGGCAGCGAGACGCTGGGCCGAGCCTCGGAGCGAGCTCGGCTGACGGCCCGCCCAGCCCCGGCCAGCCCCGCCCACGAGCCTCGCGCGCTCCGGCCGGCCCAGTGACCGCGAGACAAGTCTGGGCGGGCCCGCCTCCTTCGGGGCCACGCCTACCAACCTCACGCGAGCGAGGCGCATGAGCAGTCGAGTGCCGAGTCACGGGTCTGCAGTCTGTGGGTCGACGTCTCTGCGCAGCTTTCGTCACGCGGAAGTGAGGCGGGGGGGGGTGTGTGTGTGTGGACTTCTGACTCTTTGTTCCCGCCGACCGGAAGTGCCGGCGCGCGTTTAGTTGGCGCTTCCGGATATAAGATTTCAAAGGTTCCTCTGCAAGTGGGTCACCAGCGCCGTGGAAGCTGCATGCCTAGTCTGAAGATCGTGGAAAATTTAAAACATGAGACGTGAAAACCGAGGTTCAGAGACAAGGTTTCATAGGTTTATGAAGGTCACAGAGCGACAGAAATGAGATTAGAGTCCAGCTTTTCTGGTTCAAAACAAAAGCTTTCCCGCCGTCGACCCTCTTGTCACAAGCAAACACACCTTAGCTCATTATATTTGGCATTTTCTGAACCCAAACAATCATCTTGACAGTTTTTCTACTCCTGCCCCTCAGGACAGCTATCCAGCTTCTCACTGCTAAGTATATTAGATTCCCCGCTTTTAAATTTTAGGGTTTTGGTTTTGCTGCAGATTTAACCCGAGACCTTGGGCAGGCAAAGTACACATCCGCTACTGAGCATCCCCCATCACATTAACTGGTTTCCCCCTCGTTAGCGTCTTTAAAAACAGGTATCGAATGTAAAACTGGGGACTTTCTTCGTGAAAGCAACTTGTCATTTTATTTTTTTTAATTGGACCAAAAGGTGGAAAATTGGATTTTTTCTATTCAGTAATTACATTTTACATTTATAAGAAACAATCTGACAGCCTGGGAGATAACGGTCGGGTGGGGAGTAAAGGTGTTTGCAAACTTGACAGTCTGGGTTCGATCTCTAGGACCTACATGGTGGTCGGTGAGAGCCAATCCTTGCAAGTTGTCCTCTGATTTCTACATGACATTCGTTCACACACACAGTAATAAATGTAGTACTAATTAAAAAATTTTAAAAATCATTCTATGAAAAGAAAACAGTTATTTCTATTAACATTGGTATCATAGTTGTAAACACAACTGTCACCTGAAGGAGAATAAGTTGAATACAAGCCCGTGGTGGTTGGTGGTAGCGGACGCCTGTAATCCTAGCATTAAGGAGGCAGAGACAGGCAGATCTCTGTGAGTTCTAGACCAGCCTGGTCTAAGTAGCAGGTTCCAAAACAGGCAGGGCTACACAGTGAGATCCTGTTTCAAAAAAGCAAAAACAAACCAAAGCAAGCAAACAAACAGGGACTGAAGTGCCGGCTTAGTGGTTAAGAGAACTGCCTGCTCCTCCAGAGGATCCGGCTTCAATTCTCAGCACCCACCACAGAAGTGCACACCTGCTTGTACTCCAGCTCTAGGCAATCCAACGCCCCCGTCTGAACTACTTTGTCCTCTGTGCACACATGAGGCATAGACATACATCCAGGCACTCACATAAACATAAATAAAATCTTTTGGTGTCGTCCCCCCCCCACCCGGTTTTGTTTTTTTGAGGCAGGGTGGCAGGGTTTCTCTGTTTAGCCCTGGCTGTCCTTGAATTCAGAGATCCACCTGCATTTGCCTCCCAAGTGCTGGGATTAAAGGCATGTACCACCACTGCCTAGACAAATTATATATATTTATTTAAATATATGTATTTACCCTTTATCTAATCTTTCCACCAATATATATTTTATATATTGGTTACGGTTACAGCAGAGTGGGGGAAATCTCTGCTATAAGTTTCAAATGCTATCTGATGATGATCTTAGCTTTTGATTGGTGGAACCTTATGTATTGTTAATTTATTCCAAAAGTTATACCTGATAATCATAAAGATGTTAGGTCAAAAACAGGTGAAATGTTCTTTTTGTGTTTTTTATTTATTTATTTATTTTTTGGAGACATGGTTTTTCTGTGTAGTCCTGGCTGTCTTAGAACTTGCTTTATAGACCAGGCTGACCTCAAACACAGAGATCCACCTGCCACCTCTGCCTCCCCAGTGCTGGAATTAAAGGCATTCACCACCAGGCTTCAGTGAATGGCTCTTAAGGAGACTGAAAACAGCCCACAGTAACTTGGCTCTGGATCTACAGCCTGCTGGTTTGGTTTTTTTTTTTTTTTCCTGACTCTTCAGTTCACATGACAGAAACATGGGAACAATTTGTAATCCAACACACACATACAAAAAGGTTAAGTAAATTCTGTAATATCTATTCGGTGGAAGTATTTTGTTTTCGGTGTTGGGAACTGAACCCAGGGGTCTTCTGCATAACAAGCCTATCCTCACCAGGGAGCTATATCCCAGTCCCAACCAGGACTGTTTACCTACTTTTAATAAGGCCTTCCATTAATGACCATTCTTAAGAAGTGGCTCTTCATTTTCCTTTGAAGTCTCCATAAACTTTAAAACCATAAAGCCAGGCATGTGGTTTAAGTTTGTAATCTCAACACTTGGAAGGTGGAGGCAGGAAGATCAGAAATTCCAGATCGTCCTCTTCTACATAGCAAGTTATGGGCTAGCCTGAACTACATGAGACTGCCCCAAAATAAAATAAAGCAGCAACAAAAGAGTTAAGTGTGATGCCCCACCTTGTCATCACAGCTCAGGAGTTAGAGGTTAAGGCCAACCAGGGCTAAGGAATGCTTGAGGCCCTGGAGGGGAGCAGGCTGGTGGGGAGAGAGGAGAGTCTGAGAAAACCTGTGTAATGCTGTTGCTGGAATCTCCGATCATAAGGCCTGTCTCTGGGTCCAAACATTTGCTCTAATTAAGAGTGAAATGGTTCGGTGTGTAAAGGTTCTTGCTGCCAAGCCTGGCAACCTGAGTTGGAGAGCCGGAACCCACAAGGTGAAAGGAGAGAACCAGTTCACACAAGTTGTCCTCTGACCTCCACACTAATGTAGTGTCCTGAGAGTGCACATATACAAGAAGTAAATATAAAAAGAAAAATCATGTTAAGAATTTGGTAGTGTGCTGGACTAAAGTGTGTGGCCCAAGGTTTAATTCTTAGTACTGCAAAGCAGCAATGAAAGAAGAGGAAGAGTTGATTATTTAGTTCAATGGTAGACCATTTGTCTAGTAAGCACAAGGCCCTAGAGTTGGTCCCCTCACTGAAGGAAAGAAAAAAAAAAGAGAGAGACTACAAGTAGGATAAAAATAAAGAAAAACTACAAAAGAAGTTCAAGACTATCCTGTAGTTCAGGAGACCCTGGGATGGGGAGGTAGAAAAGTTGATCAAAAAACTTCATTTGAGCCATGGGGGGGGAGGTGGCGCACACCTTTAATCCTAGCACTTGGGAGGCAGAGGGAGGATCTCTGTGAGTTAGGCCAGCCTGGTCAACAGAGTGAGTTCCAGCACTGCCAGAAAGACACAGATAAACCCAGTCTCAAAAAAACAGAACAAACAAACAAAAATCAAACCTTCACTTGGATCCCCAGCACCCAAATAAAAAACAAGGTATAGTGGCTCACCTGTAGTGTTAGCACTGAGCTGAGGTGACAAAAATGGGAGGGTGGTTTATGTTTGCTGGACAGCTAGTCTTGCCAAATCTGCGAGCTCCAGGTCCTGTGAGAGATTTATTTATTATGTATACAACATTCTGCCTCAATGTATGCCTACAGCCAGAAGAGGGCACCAGATCTCATTATAGATGGCTGTGAGCCACCATGTGGTTGCTGGGAATTGAACTCAGGACCTCTGGAAGAGCAGTCAGTGCTCTTAACCTCTGAGCCATCTCTCCCCTAGGACAATATTTTTAAAGTATAAAGAAACACTTTTTTTTTTTGATTTTCAAGACAGGGTTTCTCTGTAGTTTTTGGTGCCTGTCCTATTACGAGCTCTGTAGACCAGGCTAGCCTTGAACTCACAGAGATCCGCCTGCCTCTGCCTCCAGAGTGCTGGGATTAAAGGCCTGTGCCACCACTGCCTGGCTAAAGAAATATACTTCTAGCCAAGAACTCTAACTCCAGCAGAAATATTTTTATAAGTGAAGGTGAAATAAAGACATTACTGACCAATGAAATTAAGAGCTTTGTCATGAGTAGACTTGGAATGTAGGAACTGTTGAAAGATGGTAGCAGAAGAAAATGAAGCTTCATGACAGAACAGAGAAACCCAAAGTGCTAAAGAATGAATTAAAAGGAAGTTCTCCCACCAGGTAGTGGGTGGCAGACATTTTTAATCTCAGAGGCAAATGATGTCTGTGAGTTCAAGGGCAGCCTATTCTACAGAGAAAGTTTCAGGACAGCCAAAGCTACAACCTCCCCCCTCCCCACCCAAAAAAAAACTTGTCTTGAAAAACCAATAAAGAAAAAAATGTTTTCCCAGCTAGGAGTGGTAGTGCCTTTCAGTTCTTTATTTCTTCATCCTTCTTTCTCCTGCACCAGGATGCCTCAGCGAACTTACTTTTCACCTAGGTTTTGTTGTTTTGAAGCAGGTCATATGCAGCTCAGGTTAACTTCATAACTGCTGTGTAGCTGAGGATGATTGAAAACCTCTGTCACTCCTTCCTATGCATCCTGAGTGCTAAGGTCACAGCTGTATGCCACCATACCATGTTTGTGCGCTGCTGGTGTAAGACTTTAAGACAATCCTGAAGCCATTTTTGACAATTCTGAATTCTCTCAGCCTCTGTGCCATAGTGCTTCCCCTCCTCCCCTGGGAGGAGGAACCACGGACCTAACAGCTACACTTGCAGGTACTCAGTTCCTGAACAATTACCCACACACATATGTTTTGATTCAGTCCCCTGGGAAACGGGGTCAAAATGACCTCTTACCTCATCTGATCTGGCAACAACTCTCCAGTCAATTATTGGTAATAGCCCTTCAAATAAGCCAATCAGAATAGT